CCGGAAAAAAAAATTTCGGGCACTGGTCGGGCACAATTCGAAAAAGTCGGGCAAATTTTTTTCTGCCCCCCCTAATTTTTTCCTTCCCGTACGCCTATGCCCAAACTAAACTAACTGTATTTATATTGAATAGGTCTGCCAGTTCTAAACTACCCCCTCCCCCTCCCCTTCCCTCTCCCCAGAGTTCAAGATATTTTTTTTTTAAAAAGTTGCTACAGGAAGATGGAAATCTAAATGAAACTAATCTAATATTTACTGAATATAACTCGGACAATCAGTTGAGTTACAAACAGTCCTCCCATGACTTCCAGTTGGGATGATCGTCTGATTTTTATAAGTGCTACTACAGGACGAAACCTACACTGAACTATATAGCTTTGGTTTACCGGATAGCTTTATCAGTTATAAACTGAACGCCCTGGTGTCCCAGTATATACTGGTAATTTGTTATCGATCCGCTGTGTTACCACACGGGAAACCCTAAACCAAACTAACTAAATTTATACTGGATAACGCTCTCAGTTCTAAACTGTTCTCTCTAGATTGGTCATTTCTTATTAGAATACACTCAACAATCGACTATTTCAAATATATCCATGTAGCATTCTGATTGGCTACGCAAAGATGGAGCGCTACGCAATGTTCCATGATTGTGAAAAAAAAGGCGGAGAACTTTGATTTTCCAAACGTTTTGAGGGATTTTGTCATAATCCTTTTCGCGAAGAACAGAACGACCGAAGATGTTTAATGGTATAGGGAGAATTAGAATTGGAGAACAAGTTAAACCGTATTTTAATAATAAATCTGGATTACTTTGCAAAAATTGTGACACGAAGACAGGTGGAATTGCTGAGCACATCGATCGTTTGTCCATAATACAATCAAAACCGATCAACTTTCAGCTGCTTGTAGTTACTTAATCACATATTTTCCTTGTCTTTTAAATGGCCTTTTCTGCGTGCTTCGACATTTCCCGCAAAAAAAATAACTTCCCTACAGCTTCGAGAAAATTTTGATATTAAGTTTCGCTTTGTATTAAATTTTTATATTCATTCGAAACGAAAGTATTGTTTCTTATAGTTATTTGTCATGAATTTCATCAGTTTCAACGACATTAATCAGGAATTCATTGCGTGCATGTTATTTTATTCCTCTTTTTATTATCGTAAGCTACTGCCACTTCCCGGAAAACAATATTGGTTACAGTATGAAAACATCTTAATATCTGGACTTGTTTCGTCCTCTTAATATTATCAAGACTTCGCTCGTATTTTTTTTTAATATCATGACTGTTTTTGGCCAGTTTTAAAATACGTTCAAAACTTACGAACTGTATTGAGCTCACGAGCTGTATTTGCTGGGTCGTTTGCGAAATGTATAACAAAAAAATCACGGGCGAAGAATGGGAATGGTGAAAGAAATCATTCAAACGCTCGTGCCTAATTTTAAATTTTATTTAAATCTTTCAAATTGTTCCTGGAGTTTGTATTTTGTGTATGAGTGTATCCTAAATCAATAAGACAACTATGCTTCGTTATCAGGCAATGGCGAATAGTCAAATGAGGCAACGCGTTCGCTGACTAGTCGCTAATAGACGATTCGGCCTGTTAAATGATCCATTGTTACTACAAGAAGATACCTAAACTCAACTACCTTTATTTATACTGCATAGCTTCATGTAACCAGGAGGTTTAAATATTTCTCCTTACAAGTCATCTCCTGTTGGTCAGAAGTGTTACTATATGTGAAGAATCCTGACAAGAGAAAACTTGCAGTGATTGCCCGGAGACGAACAACACTCCTCTCCCATGAAACTGAGGCGATATTATAATCAGATAACTGTATATCGCTGGATCGCAACCGAATTTCGGTTGCATAAATGAAAGACGACGGGTACATAGTAACCACTGCGATATCATGAGCCAAGCATTAGGTCCACACTGGTGTCTAGGCGGAGCACTACCGCCGTATAGAAAGAGGAAAAGATAAGAAATTTTACACAAACCTTCCACTCTCCTGTCATGGTCATCACCACGCAAAACAATTTACCATGTTGCATATATATAGCAATCCCACGAGTATCCATGCTGAGAACACCAGTATCAACAATATATCGCTGTTCCGGGGAGTTAGTCAGCCCAGTTAACTTGATCTTGAAGCCAATAGATAAACCATCTCTGCAGTTAGTAGGAGCAATCAAACAGTCTCTCCTACCCAAGGTTGTACCTACCCAAGAGGTTGAACCGTCGAATATGGTGGCAAAGTTCCTTGCCACGGTGTTACCATGGACATGAAGGAGGACATCCCCCAGAATATGGCCACTCAGGATATGGGCAAAGATCCATAAATGTCTGGCTATTACGGGAGGTGCTATAAAAATGGAATAAATTTTGGATAAAATGATCAGACTTTTAATTCAGACGCACTTTTGCAAGGATGGGTATCATTAAGCGTTGCAGGATCGCAAATCGTGGTTTAATACAGAAATTTCGACACTAACAAGACAATTAAGACGCCGTTTACACTAGAGCGAAAGTTTTCGGATTTATGACAAAACCGAATTCATATTGCCATTTACACACGCAGCGACGAATCCGATAGTGAATCTTCTCGGTTTCGTGTCGTGTCCGGAAACTTTGAATCCGAAACCATTTGTGGGACTTCGTATCTGGAAACATTTGAATCTGGAGAAAACTCTCGTCTAAACGGCTTTCCGTGAAGAATCTTTTAATCGACTTGTTGTGGTATATATTTTTCAACTCATTGTTAATAAATTCAACCGCCAAACAGGGTCAAAACAGTGCATAATATCACTAATAGGGTAAATTTTTTAGTAATACTTTATAGTTTTTATTGTAAATATTACAAATTCGGAAACTTTTGCTCTAGTGTAAACGTAGTCTGAATGTCTCCCATTTATATCAAGACTTGCAAATACAAGACTACTAAACATAATGAAAATAATAAATATTTTCTCATTCAGATTAGGGACCGGTCATTATTTATGGAAGGGGGGGGGGAGGGAAAAATAAGTGAGGGGCATATGTGTAAATAAATGACTAGAAGAGGGGCTATTAAATTTTTTCAAGGATTGAAAATGAGGGGTTTGCAATTAAATTTGAAGGAATTTGCTTAATAAGCCTGGAATCCATTTGGTAATTTTGGTTGTATACAAATGTAGCGACTAAATCATGGTCACCGATATGAAATAGTCTGGATTTAACTTGTCTTTTGTGCGCTCTATACTAATCAGTTTTTTACCAATGGTTTTTACCGATTGCAGAGATAAATTGACAATGTGTTATTACCGCATCAGCTATCATGACATGGTTACGATCGCCAGACCAAATGGAAACCTGATTTTAGTATTATATATAAAAATAATTTAATTTTTCTCGTTTAATTACAATTTTCTGCTGATATATATTTTTGGTCGACGTTAATATCTTATCAGTTCCATGTTATTATGTAATAATTAGTAACACTATAACGCCTGGCATGGGAATCTCCATTTGACGATTAAAAATGAAAATGGGGGCGGGGGGGGAGGCGGTCAAGAAAAATATTCTAATATGCAGGGGGGTCACAATTAAATTCTGCTCTTTAAGGGGGGGGCTTTCAGAGTGAAACCCGTGCGTCTAAAAAATAGTTTAATTCTAATGTACTAGAAAATAGTCTAGTTCAAGAAGATGTATACTAGAAAATGTTTTAATTCAAATCTACCGTGCCGGCCGTCATCATCAACTGGTCCTTGCCGGTTTTCTAAGGTAAAGAAAATGTCATTAGGATTGCGAACAAATTTTTGTAGAAAAGAAAAACTAAAACATTTCTAGTTGCTTATCTCAGCTGCAATGACTCCTGTTTTGAATGTCATGCGCAGTAAATCAACAAAATGAAGGAGTTAAATAATGCGATGACTGGCGAAATACGATACTTTTGCAACATAATGTTAACATTATTAAAGATTAAGGGGTCATATTTAAACTCATGAGCAAAAAATCAAAGAAAAAATCACTAAACCGTTGTTTCAATACATACAACGGTAATACACGGCAATCTATGAAGTCAAGCTTAAATATCTTGTGAAAGTGCATATGACACGAATATTATTATTGTCTTGAATGAAAGAACTCCCGAAACTATAGTATCACTTATGACTTATTTTCAAGTTACTTGTTCTCATGGTTTGTTTCCGAGTTATTTTAATTTGTTTGATATGTAAATGATGTGAATATGTCCGCTAATCTATGATGTCACATTGGTTGCAAGTTCTTCAAATTCGTTGAATATCACTGCCATCACTGAAGTTGATATAATTTCATACTTCCCTCACTGGTAAATCTGATGATACTCTGGAGAAAAACGTGAACTGATATCTACAGTTTTGAAAGTCAAGAGATTTATAACCAGTGTAAGTTGGGCTTGCAAACAATGTGACGTCATAAATTAGCCGTCATATTCACACTCATTCACATATCACACAAATTGAGATATCTCAGGAACAAAGAAAACATGGAAACTATTTATTTATTATAAGTTATTTCTCAGTTTCTTGTTCTCATGGTTACAGTTAGTTCTTTCATTCAAGACAGTAATATTTTCGTGTCATAATTTTGGCGCGTGATGTATTATGATGATTAAATTAAACATTTATCATTCATATAGACCCTCCCCTGGGGCGATTCGGCTAAATGTTACCCGAAGTGATGATATTTCCTAAGGGGTTTTTCCCCGAGGGAAATATCATCACTGTTTGAAATTTAATTATTCGTCAATCCTTAGTATTATTTTGTAGGCCATCTTCTGTCGGCCATCATGCGTGTTGTCTCCCGTGGTCTACACGAATAACGTTCCACCCCATGTTCCCCGGGGAACACCCTGTATATTCATTCTCTAATTTGTCTATTGGTAAAATATACAGTGGTACATCGTAAATTCACGCATAGAAGTGCCTTTGACCTTGTTACAATCGAATGATTTTGGCATAGATTTGATAACATGCAGAGGGCTATACTTCGACTTATTAATTTTATTGCCTCTTTTCTTAAAGGCCAGTTCAGCTTTTGAATGATAGTTTTTAAGGCGCATTTCAGCCCTTTTAATTGATAAAACTAACTAGGAAAATTAATAACTTCTTGTTAACCGAGCGCGATGTATTTACAGGTAAACGTTGGACCGAGGTCTTTTTTGTACAGAGCGAGCCCGTAGGGTGACCTTTGTTACAAAAAGACCGAGTACCGATATTTCTCTGTAAAGGCTGAGTAAGCGAGGTTAATAAAAACTTTATTATATGGCATTTATAGGCATTTATAGGCATTAATAGTCGAATCAAACAAGAAAGCCGTGATTTAAAATGCATATTAGTAGCGTGGTACACATTTGATCGACGAAAACAAAAAATAGCAATGTATTCCTTCCTTTCCAATTAAAACCATTCGCAGATATCTTATTAATAAGAAATAAAATTATAATTTTCAAATTTTCTATTAGGTGTGCTGTTTTGTTTTAAAATGAATGCGTCTGTTTTTACGTAATGGATCGCTCGTCCATTACGGGAAAATAATGGACCACTGAAAGTGCTTCTCAGCCAATCACAGTCTGCCATTTCACAGGAAGTGATGTTTGCCATTTTAATAATTAAGCATAATTCAAGATCAGCAAACTTAATGCTTTTAACATTTTAAAGCATTTTTATTGTTAAAAACATTGAGTTTACGGATCTTGAATTATGTATAATCGATTTTCCTAGTTAAAAGATTTTCATTCAATTAAGAGGGCTGAAATGACCTTAAAAACCATCATTGAAAAGCCTTAACAGTTCCTTTAAGTTTCCCTGACAAGTTTTGTTGTTCGTGTGCACGGAATGTTTTAAACATTTAGCTCATGTTAAGGCGGCCTTGTGTTTCCCAAAACCGTAGTTTTCATTTCCGGCTATACGCACAAACAAATTTTCATTGCCCAAAAGCAGGTATGCCTAGCGTTGGGACAAGACTCTTTGACAAGAGAAATTTGTCAATTATACCAGTATACAAATATATCACCGTTCAGACATATGTGATGACATTTATCTTGGTGAAAAGTATGGTTAGTCTTGCTTAATTTATGCTACCTAAGCTATGAAAATAATTAAACCCACAATTTTCACAATACTGTCCCTGGAATCCTATTGGACAGCGGCATTCGTTGGAATTTGGATTCACACATTCTCCACCGTTTTTGCAGGGTACCGTGCACAAAGCTAGAAAAATTTCACGTGATCTAATATTTCAAAAGAAATTCACTGCTACGATTATCCCAAATATTCTTTTTCTCAAAACGAGTGATAGTCTAATTCGGTCTGCTTCACGCCTGCTCCGGTTCTAATGTAACCAGTCACTGACTGAAGTTCATGATAGGGAGTGTGCTGTGCGATATACGTATAGCTGTATCAGTCACATACTATTTGCAGCTGAGCCGTACATATACAATAAACATCACAAAAAGGGTTGTAAAAAATTCAAAAATGTTTTAAATTAACCAAGTCTATTTGTACCAAGTGTTGTTTGAAGTATTTCCACTTCAGATTTTTTTGATGCTCTCACTAGAAATACAAAAATAATTATTAACCAGCATTGACATTCTATACAATCTAGTAGTAAGTAGTAGCACTGCACGAAGCAGAACTGTTTACTATCCAGTCTTGTTGAAGTTAGTTTAGTTTACATGCAATTGCTCCTGTAGTAACACTGGCTCAATAAGAGATGATCCTTACCGGACCTCTAGGAAGAACAGTTTAGAACTGATGAAGCTATTCAGTATAAATAAAGCTAGTTTAGTTTACAATTCCTCCTGCAGTAACCCTGGTTCAATAAAGTATGACCTATGATGGATTCGTATAGTAGAACATTTGAAAGGTCTAGTGAGAACTTGTAGAGCTACCCTGTATTTATAAACAAAGTTAGTTGACCAACAGAAGAAAAAAAAAAAAATCCTGTTCTCTTAAAAATCAAAGATTCAGTGGTATTCGTGGTTAACTTGGGGAAAATGTCGATACTTATAGTTATATTATATATTTTCTGACGAAAATGACCTATCTGTTCTTCCAGCAGAAGACACCGAACTAGACACAACCAGGAGTTATATTTCAATCATATTCTGATTAAAATTAACTAAAGAACTTCACTGTTTTGAACACGTTTATATAAACATGCAAACATGGCTTCCCAATTGTGTGTTGAATAATTCAAATAATGTTGTCATGTGATTATTCCAGAAATAATACCCGGAAGTTAATAATATGTTAATTTGTTTATGATAAATTTAATTCAAAATTGTACTATTTCACGAAGAATTGTCGTGACAAAAATTTAATAATTATATTGAATTTCGACAAAGTGTGTTTTTGTGCTTTTCCCCCTTAAACAGTTTGATTACAGAAGATAAATAATTAATAAGTAATAGAACGAATTAAGTCGTACTATTAATGCCATAATAATCATACTCGTGATTAACAAATCAACCTCCCGTAGTCTAGGACCTGTATAGATGTTTGCATGCATTTCATTTAGCACAGGTAATCTCAACTGTTTTAGGGTAAAATGAACATGGCGGTCAACATGGCATATGTGCCACAAAACCGGAATCCGGGGCGAAAGTCCTGAAAATGACCCCGCCCTGAAACGGCAGTGCCGACATAGCTCTAACTGCCGAAAAGCAAAAGCGACAGCCTTTCTGAAGTGCTTATAGTGTTTAGAAGGGTTGCTTTTAGGGGTGGTCATTGGAAGGAAAAATTTGTCTGAGTATAATATTTTACCGGAAAATGACTATGCACCACCTCAGGTAAATTGCAGATTATGCACAAAATAACTAATATGCCTGGCAGAAATTTAATGTTCTTATTTCCTAAAAAAATTTATCATGGGATGAAAAACTATGCTTAATTTAATATAATTATTGTAGTTTTCATAAGGATTGTCATTGCTTTTTTGAAAAATAATACATTTTAATTTACTCACCCCCCACGAAAACACCATTTCAGCCATTCTTTGCTGTCTGCTTTTTATCGCCGAGTCTCGCGAAGTTTTCGCGAAGGAGGGTTTTGGCATGAAAACCCAACTAATGTTTTCATTCTTTCGATTGGGACTATTCTACAATGAAGTACTCTTGGATACTGTAGTCTAAACACATAGGAAGACGAAGAAGTGGCATTTATCGGGCAGAGAAGCGGCGAGCCATTAACATTGCGGCAATTTGACGAAATATCGAAGGACACAATATCGAAGATAAAATATACTGCACTGTTTCAAAACTTTATTAAACTTCGTCGAAATCGTCTTGAGCCATCTATCATTATGTAAAAGTACAACAACTGGATGACACCTGCGAGACTCGGCGATAAAAAGCAGACAAGACAGCAAAAAATGGCTGAAATAGTGTTTTCGTGGGGGATGAGTGAATTAAAATGTATTATATTTCAAGAAAACAATGACAATCCTTATGAAAACTACAATAATTATATTAAATTAAGCATAGTTTTTCATCCCATGATAATTTTTTTTAGGAAATAAGAACATTAAATTTCTGCCAGGCATATTAGTTATTTTGTGCATAATCTGCAATTTACCTGAGGTGGTGCATAGTCATTTTCCGGTAAAATATTATACTCAGACAAATTTTTCCTTCCAATGACCACCCCTAAAAGCAACCCTTCTAAACACTATAAGCACTTCAGAAAGGCTGTCGCTTTTCAGTGCTTTTCGGAAGTTAGAGCTATGTCGGCACTGCCGTTTCAGGGCGGGGTCATTTTCAGGACTTTCGCCCCGGATTCCGGTTTTGTGGCACATATGCCATGTTGACCCCCATGGTCATTTTACCCTAAAACAGTTGAGATTACCTGTGCTAAATGAAATGCATACAAACATCTATACAGGTCCTAGACTACCGCTACGTGGTCGGTTGATTTTGTAGTCACTCGTATGATTAGTATAGGTAATACCATGGTTTCGAGTGCAATTTGGATATAACAGGCACGAGTGAGTTTTTCAAAGACCTCAAAATGCTATTTGAGGTCTTTGAAAAACTCACGAGTGCATGTTTATCCAAATTTCACGAGAAACCATGCTATTACTTATTAATAATTTACATAAAAATGTTCGAGACAATTATTGTAGTTTTAACTTACGCGTTTATAGCGAACATTCCACTGGCAAAGTTTTCCTGGCTTTGTTTTATCACATTATACAACGCTAACAGCTTGAAAATTCCACTCAACTGTGTATTTTTTGTTAGTCTTGTTTAAGGTAAATGCTTTTCCATTTAAAAATAAAGATAAAAGCCATATTTTCCACGCGAAGGCAACTTTTACTTTGTGTAGCGCGGCGCCATGTTTGTTTTGTTTTGAAGCAATCTGTGACCGTTACTTCTTTAAAACTAAACTGCTTTAAACTGATTGGTTGATTTAATCATCACAATGTTTTTCCACCAACCAGATCAGTTTGTTACAGATTTTTGCACTGTGATTACAGAAAATTGCACTGTGATTACAAAAAATTGCACTGTGATTACAGAAAATTGCACTGCTGTTTGGGATTAACTGCACTGAAATCAACCAATCACAGGCGAGTAATATCTTTATGTATATTATTATGGCATTAATAGCACTCTCCAGGAATGCAATTAATGATTTTCCTGATGGCTGGGGGGAGTGGGCAATCAAATCAACAAAATACAATATGGCGGCGAAATTTAAATAAGTATTTCTAACAAATGTGGACGATTTTAACTGAATTTTGGCACAAGAATGAGTTTAAAAAACATTGTATGGCAAAAAGAGCCTGTGGAAAAAACCTGGAAACAGTCTTAAGAAATAATCTTGGCGGGATGCAGCGAAACGTGACTATGTAAATTTGAAATAAATTTATAAAGATTTTCTTAGTCTAAAATATGTTGTTTGAGTTTGAATCTTGCGTTCTAGTTAAGTTATGTGCCTTTACGAGTTTATAATCATTTCCCAAGTTTGTTTCTATCTAATTGCTTACAAAAGAATTGAAAACTCATGACAAAATGCAGTTGAAATATAAAGAAAGCGATTTTGTCATGCATATAATAAATCAATAATCCGGCGGCTCCTGCAATTTTGGCACATTTTTCAAATATCACTCGTAGTGTTAATCATTAATTGCACTCCTTCCCGTGTGATTACCTATACTAATTAGTTATTCGCATAATAAAGCGTGTATGAATGATTCGCTGTTATTTGTACATCTACGTATATGCTTTTGCAACGTTTTTACTCGTTGGCCTGGCGTTCAAACAGCATTTAATAAGTGTATGTTGAAATATAGCGGTTAACCCTTATAACGTTCTATACAGTGTGCATTGAATACACAAAATATGTCGCCTCCATTTCCAATCACGTGAAAATAGGCAGTGTCACGTGTCTGTTCTGACTGCCCCTACTCGAAAATCGCGGTAGTCAGAACAGTTCAGAACAGTCATGTGACTCTCTGCTGTTCCATTCCATTAGTGTTCCGAAAATCCGGAGTACTCCGAGCAGTGTAAATGGAGCAGTTTGCCGGTGGTAAATAATGCGTCAGATTTACTAGTCACCTAGCCAAACAGAACGCGTGAAAGCTCATTTGATATGCAAAATTTATACTAAATGTAATTAACAACGTACTACCTGAAAAATATAATAAAATATAAATTTTTCATTTAGTTGCATTGCATCTCTGCCAATGAAGTAACAAAAGATCTCTAAGAGATGGTCTCATTGGAATCTATAGAAATGTTTAGAACTGATACAGCAGTATCCAGAATAAATAAGTTACTTACTGGAATAATCTTAACAGATATTCTTGGGGGAACAGTTTTGAACTGATAAAGCTATCCAGAATAAATAAAGTTGTTTAGTAAATAAACTTCATAAATGGTTTCAATACCTGTTTTGTCTCCGTCCAAAGAAGTACCTAAAATTAAAATATACATGGGTAAGAATTTAAATGCATATTTCGGCACATGCAAGAAAATTTTGAACGAACAGCAAAAATATCTTGACTGTTACTTCAACTTACTGATTGATGATGGGAAACTTTCCACACTAGTTGCCGTTCCAGCTAGAATATAAAATATTATAAAGAAAGTGGTACGAGCCATATTACAGTCGGACGGTCCGTCAATATATGTGCATCAACTGTTCGGAAGACTGCTAAGCCAGTTATGAAATTTATTCATACATGCGGTATAACGTATCTTAGTGTTTCTTTATGTGTCGAAGTCGTTATTAGTTCCACGCCAGTGAATGATTAAGAGACTAGGGGATGTGCTAGTCAACCATAACTCCGGATCAAACGAGGTTGACAGTGCATGAGAGTTGGCACGCAACCTTGGTTAGCTGTTATTAATGCTTTCCAAGACTATCATGTATTCTTATCCATGTTAAAACGTAGTTGGAACACTTATCACATCTATTTTTTGTTCATTTAGAATTTGAACTCTGTCTAACTACCAACTCTCATCCTGGGGTCAAGAGGGGATGTTATTCAAGGGGAACTTATTATAAATTATCTATGCAATGTAAATTTAATTATTTTTCACCCAGCTCGGTTTCCTTTGTTCTTATCGGGGAATATATTCAATATTCTCCTCTAATCAATTTCCGTTTAATAATCCCCTCTAATATTCACCTGTAATTAATAATCCCCTCTAATATTCACCTGCCATGTCTTTGCAGCACAAAAAATGAGAAAAAACGACATAACGAAGGCAATCTGACATTAAGAATTATTTCTATTCTGACTCGTTAACGCGACTTCGCAATGTGAAAAATAAGTACGTTATTTTGAGGCACCTCGGGGATATGTGTTTATTCACCTCGGCGCTGCGCGCCTCGGTGAATAAATCACATATCCCCTCGTTGCCTCAAAATAACCTATACTTATTAACATGTTATAGTGAATGGCATTATATTTCTTTTACCAAAGTTGGTAATTAAATTTATTATTATCTGCTAATCACCCTTGAGGTCCATACAGACCGGACGCAATTCAGCAACGCGACGCGAACTTTCAATTTTCAATAAAATTTAACTTTAATATTTTTCTATGTTTTTCAAATATTTGGAACCACTTAAGAAATTTTAGCTATTTGGTCTGCATAGCTTGTAAAATTTTTATCCGTTGACTTTTCTATTTGTTTTAAAAATTAAAAATTTGCGTCGCGTTGCAGAATCCCGCTCGATCTATATATGGGCTTGAAGATGAGAGAATATAAAAACTATACTCCCAAACTTATATGATTGAGTCGAAGAGTCGACCTGATTGAGTCGAAGAGTGTTCAAGGGCGCCTGTCTGATCACGAAGAAGAAATCAATAAATCGAACCAATAGCGGAGTCAACAGCAGAGACAAAAAACTTGTCTAAGACGGCAAACTTGTTTAAAATAAATCCGGTCTGATGCGAAATATCTGACTATTGTAGAACTGCCCATGCGCAGACGATGCGCATGAATGACTTTGACTCATATATTTCGAAAGTCAACAGACAACACGTGTATTTATAAAGTCATTTTGTTCGATAATATTTATACGTAAATTTTCAAGTTGTACAATTGATCTACTGACTGGTTGACACTATACCACTGCATGGTTGTGAACGTTAGCGTTCAGCGATAGTAAAGCTTGAATCAATATCTGCGAATGGAAAAAGTCAATCGAAAAGCGCTCTCAGTGATATAAAATAGATGGCAACAGATGATCGAGTTTTCCATCTCTCCAGGATATGTTTATTTACCTATAAAACTAAGGGGGAATCCCCATATGCCCCATACTATACCACAGCACATGCACCAAACTTTTGTTGGAGCAACAACCATCTGTCATTTTTCCGCACTCAGTATAGCATGGTCTCTTTATTTCAGTAAGACAAAAACTAAAAAGATTTACAAGATGTGATTTCCCAATATGCCGTGCTAAATGTATGATTAATTTCATGCAATTATAAAAAGAATTAATTAAGTTAATACAATAAGTCGATCCAATAAAATCGGAGAAAAAAGGAAAAAAGATAAGTTGGTTATGTTAGGTAATAAATCATTCCAAGCTACAGCTCCTCCGTACGAGAATGATTTTTTTACAAAAGTTGGAATTTGGCCTCGGCAGTGCCATGTTAAATTCATCCTGCCTAGTTTCATGATTATGAAGTGTACTACATGGTTTTCGTGAATAAATCAATTAGGTAATCAGGCACCATATTATTATTTACCTGATACATAATAGTACATACTAATTGATTAGTTCTTCTGAGACTTCAGTAAATCTAATTCTTTAGGTATATCGTCTGACCTAAATTCATACCCATGCACGCTTTTTCATAATACGTGCTGCTCTAATTTGTAAACATTGCAAATCTCTATAGCATATAATTATAACTATTTGTCCAAATAAACAATTTAAAATACCAAACGTACCTCGTAGAGATCATCAATCAGCCACCATCTTGTAAAAGAGAAAAAAATATGACAGAGCATTTCCAACCTCTTCCCAAGGATCTTCTTCGTGATGGCACGCGAAAAAATACGTTATTATAGGAAATTAACGATGCACTTTATTAACGCGACGTAAATTAACGTGTCATCTAATTAACGCGAATTGCTTTCATGCAGGTACTTCTAAAACTGATTAAATTAACGCCAATTTGACAGTGTATTGTTAACAAGTTAATTTAACTAACACGAATCGAAGAATATAAACACAACAGAAAAAGTATTATATACTACAAATTAAAACAGTACGCGAGTAGATATATTAAAACCGTAACGTTGAAAGTTACAGTGATTTAAGCCAATGTATATAAATATATATAGTTCAGCTTAATATAAGATTCTAACAGTGACAGTGACAGTGAAGACTGATGTTTTTGTTTTGAAGTTTAATGTGATGCATTTTGAGTTAAAAGAGTTCGTGTTATATAAAACAAATCAAGGTCTTTTTAGTTAACGATAACTAAAATTTGCCATGCTTGAAGTTAACGATAACATAAATTAACATTAACTAAATCAACGCGAAATTTTAAAATCCGCGTTAATAAAGTGCATCGTTAATTTCTTATAATAAGTTAAAGAGAAGACCCAGATAAACGCTACGTAAATCTCCAAGATTCTTGGAGATTGAGTGCATGCGCTATGGGGAATTTGCATGCCTTGGCACATGTATTAATAAATACTCTAAGATATAATAATATTGTAATTGCGGTGCCCGTGCCATTTTTGGCACCGCATTATATTCTGCCTGTGAGTTTGTCCGTTTGTTTGTCCGTTTGTTTGTCCGTTTGTTTGTCCGTTTGTTTGTTTGCTAGTTTGTTCGCATCAATACGTTTCCTTAATCGCCTAGTAAAAATTCCTTGCACGTGCTCAGATTTTATTAATTATAATTAATCGTGTACTCTCATGATCGACTGTTTGCCAGGCTTTATCTCTGGTTTTATGCGTTAAACAAGGACAAAAATACGACTGTTCGAATCAGCGTGAAAAGTTGTATTTACGGACGGAAAATTGATTTCAAAATTGACTTCTATTCTAGCGATTTGTGGCCTTTGAAAGACAAGCCGCTCAAAATAATCCTTCACGTTTTACGAATTCCTTTTTTCGAGGAAATTTTTCTTTCGAATTAATCTCGGATTCTCACGATTGACTTTTTTCTGCGCCTTATCTCTGGTTTTATGCGCCCAATAAGGACAAAAATACCACCGTCCGATTCAGCGAAAGAAATTATACTCACAGATGTCAAATGTATTACTAAACAACAGTATTCTAGCGATTTATGGCCTTTGACAGACAAGCGAAATTGTATTGTTCACAAATCGCTCAAAATTATTAAACTAATAGTTAAAAATTCAATTTGTTTGACCTTGATAACTTTCGTATTGTTGGTTTTCTCTTTTTCCGCTGTATACCAGTGGACTCGTCTCACTTTTCTCTTTGTTTTGTTAGTAGTTTGAGCCAAAAATATTATATTTTGAAGGTTTTAATGTGCAGTTTTAATAAGCGAAATTGTATTGTCGACAAATCGCTCAAAATTATTAAACTAATTAAAAATGCATTACGTTTGATCCTTGATAACTTCGGAATTGTTGGTTTTCTAGTTTTCGGCCGTATGGAAGTGGATTCGTCTAACTTTTCTCCTCATTTTGATAGTATTTTGAGCCCAGTATTTTGAAAGCTTTAAAACGCAGTTTTGATCCTAACGTATACGGACCAACTGGCGGCCGACAAGAGAATGTGTAGCGTGCTAAATATAACTTTACTTGTACATATAGGCGGAAACGGCGAAAGTTTTATGTGTACGCGGGCACCGCATTTTAGTACTGTGTCTGGTTTATACTTCATTCCTTGGAATTAGCCATGCCGAAGTTGATGAGAGGACTGGGGAATAGTGTTAAAAAGTGCCCAAATTAAGAAATGAACCAAATAACTAAAAAGACCACCTCAAAATTAATAAGCATGCAAAGTTTGAAGACGTTTAAATGAATACCCTTCGAATAATAAGCTTTCGAAAATTGTGAAATTACTGATTAAAAGTTTGTTTTTGGGACGCGCGTCCCAAAAACAAAAATTACAATACATTTCATAGTAAATATCGCGATTTTCGAAAGCATATTATTCAAAGGATATTAATGTAAACGTCTTCAAACTTTGTGTACTTACCATTTTTGATGTGGCCTTTTTAGTGATTTGGTTCATTTCTTAATTTGACTAATTTTTAGCACTCGTCTCCAGTCCACTCAAAAACTTCGGAATGGCTAATATGCAGAATGCTTATATGTGGAAGAATTTGGCTTACATCCATGCCGTTCTCACATAGAAATTTGGAACTCCCTTTCCTTTTACACATCCTAGAACATTTTACTGTTGTAGAAGTGGATTTCCCCATCCCCTTTCAGAGAGCGGAATTTTGTGTTGGGAGTTTATATTCAATATGTTTAGTTTATATGCTAACTGAATAGTAAGTAAAACTAAAAGATTGCCAACCAATTACAATAGTCTTGTGCAAATATCAATGTGTTTCTCCCTTAGTTTGAATAAATCTACTGCTAATAAATTGGACATAGATTTAGTGTAACATATAGATTTAGGTTTCCAATTTGTGAGATGAAATGCAAATCAATCATGCTTCTCAAACTAAAATGCTAGGAAAGTGGAAATCATGCATCGTAGCTCTGCAGGACAGATTCAATTTTCCCTGATTCACTACGCTTTATTTAACAGTTGGAGACGGGACAAACAAATTGAACACAGCCATAACCTGGGCACTGAGAATGTTGTGCACAGCAAAACCCCCAGAGGAATGAACTGTGCAAATCTTTAATCAGAACCATAATATATCAACTTCATTAGCAGTGCCACGATCACCATCACCGCTATCATTACCACAGCCAACACCATCATGATTATGGTGTTAGCTGTGGTAATGATAGCGATGATGGTGATCGTCATCATCATTACCACCATTACCACACTACCATCACCACAATACCACAAACAATATGATGGTCAGGAGCTTTACATTGTCGCACTTTCATTACTAACAGCATCTTCAACACCAAAGTAGCAATATACCATTACAAACACCTCAAGGTTTGTATTGCTGCCAGGGACGAAACTTGAGGGGGGGGGGGTGGCGGCGGGGGGTGACAACCCCCCTCTCCCAAAGCTGTATTGACAGGGCAAATCATCTGGATTGGCAGGGCAATGAAATATTTTAAATGATAGAATGTAGAGTTATTAACTAGCTTCCAGGTCTTCCAGAGGGAATGGAACAGAATTTATAGACCTAAATTTTACAGATATTGGTCCAAAAATTAGGGTTTCATGCATGTTTTGACAGGAATTTATCCGAAAAAAATTTTTGACCACTAATTTAACTGGTTTATGTCCGGAAAAATTTTTTTTGCCGCTTTTTTGAATCTCCGGGAACAATTGGTTACCCCTAAAATGGTACACTGACCGAAATTTTTTTGGCGTCGGGGGCGGGGGGAGGACGACGAAAATTTTTTTTCCTGCAGGGCATCATAGGCTTTCGCAGGGCAATTCTAGCAGACCCCCCCAATTAAAAGGGGCTAGTTTCGTTCATGATTGCTGAAGGTGGTTGTTGCCTTTTAAACGGCGGAATCATGGTCGTCATCATCAGCATCACCATCATCATTACTATACCATTATAACCACTACCGCAATCATGTTCAATACTATCACAACCACCATTAACTCCATACAATTCATAAACACTGACTATCCGTGTCTACTTTCCAGTAACGTTTTGCCTGGACATAAAGATCACATGCTAGCCTGTGACAAAATGTCTCGATTCGATTCTCATCGTGGCCAGGCATATTTTTCAAGATTGCCCAGAGTGGATATACACTCAGAGTAACATCACAAATATCATATTACACATGAGTACATTACACCAACACAGAAAAAAATCAAAATATCTTCACTTAAGTGTTTTGCACAATACTATTAATTGGCACAAATAAATAAGACCTAGGTTTACAAATCTAAACAACAAACGCGACTTCTTTTGCTACAAAAGTTTCAAAACATATTACAATTTTTTGGAATAAATGTTTAGAATGCTAATGTTTTTATCAAAGCTTTGTCCCATTCAAAACGGCCATCTTGGGAAACGTCCAATTATACCTGGTGGTCCTCGTCGTTTCTTTCATTCTAAATATAGGCATATATATATATAAAAAAGGGAAAGGTAAAACTGGCGAATATAGATGTGTTCGTTTGTATGCTCGTGAATATAGATGTGTTCGTTTGTATGTATATGTATATATGTATATGTTACTAATGTAGGTACCTGATTTGTGTATGTTACTTTTGTGTATATGAAACTTATTGATATCTGTCTTTTTCACGCATGAATTATTTATTGTCAGAGCGGTAGTGTTAATTTCATATTTTAAATGAGCTTCGGTCTTATCAGAATGTAAAAGGTAGTCCAAACTCTATTAGCCTTTTAATTTGGTTTCTTTTGGGCTTCCTTGCTTTTTATAATTCGTTAATTGTATATTTTCTATACCGTTATTTTTGTGGCAAAAATATATTTGATTTGATTCGATTTGATTTGATTAGACAGAATTGAAACAAAAAATTTGAAACATGCCTTATTCTAGGTTTCACGAAGCACTATCTTGTAGCAGATGATGGTCAACCTGCAGTTATCAAAGTAAGAAAATAATGTTTATTATTTTCATAATAATTATATAGTACTCTAATGTCCTTGCCCTATAACATTTAATATTTCTGTAGTTGAACAGATTCGCTGTCCTGTAATCCTAATATTATAAGGCCGTTTTTCCTAGCTTCAAGATTTCCCGCCTAAAAACAACTTTCCTTATAGTTTCCGAGTTTTTCGATGCAATTTTAATGTTAAAGGGTTATGGCTATAAATAATAACTTTGTGTTATTTGAAAGAACTTTTACAGTTATGTATGAAGACATTTTACAACTTTTTCGTATCTTGCTTGGATTTGGACCTTTAACCTTGTAACTAAAATTTTGATCTAGACAAAAATTTCATCACAGCTTGAAAGACCATCACAAAATTAGTGATATTCCAAAGTTTCGTTACGAAATGTTGTAAAATGCGGATAATATATATAGCCCTGCGAATTTTGCAATTTTCAGTCATTTTAGATTACAAACGGGAAATTGATACCCAAATCGTGTGTTTGGGTATCAATTTCCCGTTTGTAAATCTAAAATGACTGAAAATTGCAAACTTCGCAAGGCTATATTATCCGCATTTTACAACATTTCGAAACAAAACTTTGGAATATTACTAATTTTGTGATGCTCTTTCAAGCTTTGATGAAATTTTTGTCTAGACTTGCCTAGTTCAAAATTTTAGTTATAAGGTTAAAGGTCCTTTTTTATGACGTCACAAGCAAGGTAAACTTGTTAAAACGTCTTCATGTAGGATTAAATTCCTTTGTCTTACGTCAGCCAATCAGATTTAGCGACATAAATATCCAAATAAATTTAGCGACATAAACATCTTAATAAGTCCAAGGTAATGTTTCCGAAATTTAGAAGCATTACTGTGATTGGTTGTTTTCAGGAAAGGAATGTTGTGGTCAAGTGAGCAGCCGCTCGTGGGGAGAAACCTCGACACAAAGAGAGGCTGAGAGGGAGACTAGAATAATTGTAAAGAAGTTTATATATCATTTTAAATGTTCTCTCAAATAAGACAAACTTAATTTATATTCACTTTAAGTTTTGTTTATGCATGTATTTCTGGTGACAGAATTGTTTTTCACAGCCATTTTGTCATGTATTTGATGGATTTCAACGACATTTGGTGCATTTATACGTCCTTTTGAAATTAAGGTAAACTACTGCATCTCGGCATCGTTGTGTATGGCGAATAATCAACTCAGACTCCCCTTGGTTGACTATTCCTCTCATAGACAGCACGGCTTCGTTGTCTAATTGTCTAATTGAGACCTACAGTACTCTAAAAAAAATACATGCATGCAGAAATCTTCACCTTGCTAACAAAACCTATAGCTTTATATTTTCCGAAAATGAAGTGTTTAAAGTAGTTGTCGTGTTAACACGATAAATTGATTAATAATATTTTAAAATTAAAAATCACCAAAAAATATCACTTTTAATTACAAAATTATCAATTTCCGACCAAACATATATATGTTAGTATAGGTAACAGGATGGATTCGAGTGCACTTTAGAAAACATGCATGGTCGATCGAGCGAGTTTTACAAAAAGCATCAAAATAGCACGAGTCGACCGAAGGAAGAGTGCTATTCGAGGTCTTCGAAAAACCTACGAGTGCTTGTTTTATCCAAACTTCATTAATACATAATAAGATGGTTTTTCTTAATATACATAAAAAAGTTCGAGACAATTGTAGTTTTAACTTACGTTTATAGCGAACCGTCCACTGGCAAAGTTTTCCTGGCCTAGTTACTGTATATCACATTTTAGTATAAACCTACTAGTAGGCTATCATGTATCGTGCTTTCTGATTGGCTACGCTACTAGTAGGCTATTAGTGATAGCCTACTAGTAGCAACAGCGGCGAAGGGCGCGAGAGTCAATGGCCGTTTTAAAAGCATTAAAAGCTGTATTTAAAGGGAAAAAGCTTATCAAAATGGTCTAATTTTGGTTCTGGATTACACACAAACAAAGACTC